CCTTGTCAATGTCCCTGGACCTGGTAGGGCCAGCATTTCATTGGGTTGGTGGTTGCACCTAGTTGTCTCGACTTCGCGCTGAGGTGCAAGGACTGACCGCTATGGAATCCGAGGCCATGCATTGGACTATATCCAATCCTATCTTAGTGATAGACACCAATGTGTAACCATCAATAATATAACCTCTCCCACTCTACCAATAACTGTTGGAGTGCCACAGGGCAGCATCTTGGGACCTCTCCTATTTCTTATATACATCAATGATCTGCCTAATGTCTCTAACATTCTGAAACCTATTTTGTTTGCTGATGATACTACCCTCATCTACTCTAACCCCAACCCACATACACTAAATAATGTTGTTAATAATGAACTAAAAAAAAGTCCACTTATGGATGTTAACCAACAAACTAACACTTAACATAGAAAAGACCTACTACATCTTATTTGGAAGCAAATCTACAAATGCAATTCAGCTTCAGATAGACAATGTAAACATTTGCAATAAAAATGATGGAAAGCTTCTTGGTCTATTCCTAGACAAGAGACTCAACTTCAGCACCCACATACAACACATAACTAAGAAAGTCTCTAAAACAGTTGGTATACTCTCCAAAATCAGATATTATGTACCTAACTCTGCTCTCTTCTCACTATATCATGCACTAATCTATCCCTATCTTAATTATGGTATCTGTGCATGGGGTTCAACCACTGCAATTAAACCACATCAAGTCCATCACCCAGCAAAAATCTGCTGTCAAAATAATAACAAATTCTGCTTTCAGACAACACTCAGCCCCCTTACTTAACTCCCTAAACATGCTAAACATAATCTCACTCCACAAATTCTCTTGTGTCAACTACATTTACAAAACCTTGTTCTTAAATGCAAATCCTGCTCTGAAACTCTCCCTGGACAGATGTAATAGGACCCATTATCACTACACCTTAAATAAATATTTCTTTGATATCCCCAGAGTCAAACTTAATCTGTGTAAACACTATGCAAATAAAGGGACCCAGTTTATGGAACTCACTCCCTAATGAATTGAAAAGCTGTCCAACTTTTGCGTCATTCAAAAACAATACTAAAAAGTACCAAATTTCATCTTCATAGTTTTTACCTTTTCCTTTAAAATTGCACTGTATCTATTGCTACCCAATCTCCCAATCTTTATGTACCCAATCCGAACATCTTTACCATTGTGATCATTGCTGTCTTATATGTGCTATCAATCTGCTGTATGGTGCTTATTAATCTTGTTTAAATTACCAATCAAGCTGTCAGTGTAATCAGAGCTTTAATATACCAATGTGCTTTAATATACTTACTAATCTCTCTCACCTCATTTTTTCTTGCAATGTATTTGTTATCATTTTATTAATTCTGCTAAAATTTACCTACTTAAAATTATCTGTTAGATTAAGGACCTCCCCGAAATGCTGCGCGTACTTATTTTATTTTATATTGTGACGGGAGAGTGTTGGTGTGTAGATGCTCGGCAGACCTTCAATGGCTGGTGTCAATGCCTAGTCACACTTACAAAAAAAAGATAGACTGCTTGCATGTTTATCTGTGGTAAAGTAAGGGAAGACACGCAAAACACATAGTATGAACAATGAAACTTTAATTAATATAGAAAACAAATTATAAACAAAGACAATCCCTTAGCAATGTACAGTGCAAACAAACAAGTCAAAAAAATATAACATAAATGAAGATTAGGGATGACGTTACTCTACAATAATATAAATACACAGTGAAAAATAATCAGGTGCTGAGAATATGGCGCTAGCTGAGAAACATCCACCTGATACACAGCGTATATCAGTTAGTTGTTCACTGCTTGAGAGCACAAGGATATTCTGACTTCAATGGCTGGTTCAAGTCCAGACATCGACTCAGGTAGAGGGCGCTGAGGTGCAGAAGTGCAGGTGTGCAGTCGGCGAGTCACCAATCAGGAGCAGGCAGGCTGGGAAGGGTAGTTGGCTGGTTGATGACGAAGCCGGGCAGGAGGGAGTGTGGAGTAGGGGTGAGTCTTGGGTACGTTTTGCCTCCTGGTCAAAACGTTTTGTGCTACTGGTAGACGTATCTTGAAGGTAGCATCTTATTGTTGTATAATATACGTAACTTGATGTAGAGAAGAGCAGGCTCAATCTCTCTCGAAAGAGATTATCGTCACAATATATATACAAGAAGGTACATTGGGAATGTGAGGATACATAGCATAGTAATTACATTCTTGTAAAGCCACTAGTACGCGCAGCGTTTCAGGAAGGTCCTTAATCTAAGAAAATTTTAAGTAGGTAAATACTTGCAAAATTTATAAAAATGATAACAGTTACATTGCAAGAAAAATAAAAAGATGAGAGAAAATTGTAGGTATATTAAAGCACATAGGTAGCTCAGAATGATGGCAATGACAGCTTGAATGGTAGTTTAACAAAAATTAGTAGGCACAATACAGCATATGGCTAGCACATAAAAGAAGACAGCAATGAACACAATGATAAAGTTGTTTGGGTTAAGTACATAAAGATTGGGAGATTGGGTAATACTAGGTACAGAGCAAATTTAAAGCTCAGTGTAGGAAACTACGAAGATGAAATTAGGTACTTTTTGGTTTTGTTTTTAAATTGTGGCTTTAAGTTTTTAAGGATTTTTAAGTTTTTAAGTTTTTTAAGGATTTAAGTTTTTAAATTGTGGCCATACTAGTGGCTTCACAAGATTGTAAATACTATGCTATGTATTCTCACAAACCCAATATACCTTCTTGTATATAAATAAATGAAATAAAATAAAATAAATTAGTCCTGATAATCTTTTCCAGTTAGATTTTAAAATTTAACAGTTTTGGCATCCACAGCTTCGGCGGGTAGGCAGTTCCATGGGTTTATAACCCTGTGGGTGAAAAAACATATCCTGGTCTCAGTCCCACATTATAGCGTGTTGAGCTTAATACCGCTGCTCCTTGTTTGTTGCACCTGACCTATTGAAGAAATTGTCTGGATCAACATCCTCCAAACTGTTTAATATTATGAACGTTTCAGTGAGATCCGTCCTGTGATGCCTGGTTTGTGGTGGTGTTGGCCCTGTGGCCCTCAACCTGTCCTGGTATGAGAGCTGACTTAGTTCTAAAGAACACTGTTTTTCCCAAAAACGGTGGGTTTTCTGAGTGGAAGAGAAAACGTATGTCTGGAAGCTGACTTTAATCGCCCCAAGCTGCGCGCGCAACGAGCCGAGGTTATATAAACCTGGACGGAGACTGCGTGGCCCCTCTTCCCAAGCCAGCAGCTGCTCTTACCCAATCTGAGCACGTTTTCTTCTAACCTCAGAAAAAATAATTTTTGTTGCACGGTGTTGAACTTTCTCCAATGTAGCTGTCTTTTTGAAGATGAGGTCTCCATGCCTGGTTGCAACAATGCAGGTGGGGGCGCACCAGGGATTTATACAATTGAATGACTACTTCTTTATCTTAATGTCAAAGGTACGCTTGATTATTCCCAGGGTTTGGAGAGCTTTGTTTTTACTGCAGCTCGCACTTGTACAACTTTCAGTGAATGATGCATTTTGACTCCAATGTCCATTAATCTGCTGGAAGGTAATGCTTTTTATGTGGTAGTTGTGGCATGGGTTGTTATGCCCCACATGCAAGGTCTTGCATTTTTTTATACTGTATATTAAAAGCATTTGCCAGTCTTCTGACCATTTTTGGAGTTCATGTACATCTCTTTGTAAGGCCTCAATGCCATTTTCACTCCCACTTTACCATAAATCTGAATGCCATTGTAAATTTGATGATGTGGTTTTCAATATTCTCATCTATATAATTGATGTTTATAACAAAGGGTTGGACCGAAAATGGTCCCCCTGTGGTACCCCACTCACCTCATTTCTCCAGACTCTTTGTTTTCTTTGTTTTATCTATTGTTTTATCCATTTATTTATTTATTTATATACAAGAAGGTACATTGGGGGTTAAGAAAGAGCATAGAAATTATGTTGATTTTACATTCTAATATTCTAATATTCCATTCTAAATATTCCACCATTTATTCCGTGTACCTGTAAGTTCCTGGCTAGTCTTTCATGTGGTACCTTGTTCAAGGCTTTTGCAAAGTCTATGTAAACTACATCCATCATAAGTCCTTTGTCTGAGTAGCTGGTTACCGTTTCCAAAAATGTGGGCAGGTTTGTAAGGCAGGATCTATTTTTAACAAACCCATGTTGGCCAGACCACACACTAGAAGGTGAAACGACGATGACGTTTCGGTCCGTCCTGGACCATTCTCAAGTCGATTGTGTCGACTTACCTCAATGTCTCGAGTCGAATTCTCGACTTGAGAATGGTCCAGGACGGACCGAAGCGTCGTCGTCCCTTCACCTTCTAGTGTGTGGTCTGGTCAACATACTTTAGCCAGATTATTGTGACTCATCGCCTGCTACACAAACCCACGTTGCGTCGATTTTACAAGATTCTTCTTTGTGAGATTGTGTATGATTGTCTCCATGAGCTTGCAGATGTGTGATGTCAAGCTGATCGGATTGTAATTTTTTGCTGTGCTCTTTGTCTTTTTTTTTTAAAATAGGGGTGACATTTGCATATTTCCATTCTAGGGGGACTATCGCTTGGTCCAGAGATTTTTGGAAAAGGGGTTTCAGCGGTAGGCATAGTGCATCTGCCAGTACCATTATGACTTTAGATTGAATTCCATCTACAACTGGGGCTTTTGAGTCATTAAGTTTGTCAATGCTCTTCCTGATTACGTGACATCTTATGGGTATATTCCATAATTTATACTCTTCACCTCCTTCAAACATTTGTGTGGGCGACGGGATGTCATCTAACCTTTCTAGTGTGAACACTGATGTAAAATATTCATTCATGGTGGTATACAGAAGGTATACCGTCTTCTCTCTGGGGTTACATATGCATGGTAGTGATGATTGTAACCGCTCGTCATCAACTGTTCTGACAAGTGTACTTGTGTTGCAGGAATACTCCAACAAGCTCCGCCACGAGGCAGGGAAAGCCACGGACCCAGGCTACACAGCGTTACATGAAACTGTGCAGAGTTTGGCTGACGAGGTAAGAGAAAAGGGACACAAGTTCTCGTGGGAATTCATAGACCAATGCAGGGATAAAAAAGAACGTAGCGAGAAGGCCAGAATCATTCTGTGTAAAGCAGCAAGTCTTGGCATGTCTCTCACTTGCCAGATGTTGGGGCTTGAGGACGTCTACCTTCATCCTCTACCGAGCGACGTTCAAAGACTACCTCTTGAACGTTTAATAAAGAGTAGTCAATATGACACTCTCTATACATTACTTAGAGATCTGAAGATGCCCTTAGTCACCGTTATCGAAGAGAAAATCCCTGAGAAACTCTCTCAGCACGTTGTGAGATCTGAACTGGAGCAGCTAGAAAGGTTTGTCAGCAGAATAGTAACGGATATAGACTTAGTGAAGCACGTAAAAGATGCTTGCGACGGTAAATTGGAGGGCAACCTGCACGAAACTGTTTTGGCAAGCATATCCCGCCTGGGATTAGTATTAATATTTCACAAAATTAGAACAAATATGCAGAATGTTGATGTTAACAGTATTGTTGAGGAACTGACAGGAACAACGATGCTACATCTGGCTGCCCTCTACGGTAATCTGGGTATGGTTGAGTACCTGCTCTTCCGCGGAGCCGACGTGCAGGCAAGAGACAAAGCAGGACTAACCGCGGCCCACCAGGCTGCCGTAAAGGGCAACATGGAATGCATGGAGTACCTGCATGGCTTCATGCTTTTCAATAAAATAAATTTAGACCAGCCTTCAGATGCTGAAGTAACAGCAGAGGAATTAGCTAATGGGTATAAAAACCAAGTCAATGACTATAAATTGGTGCTCTTGTCTGAGGAATATAGACTGGAGGCACTCAGCGAACCTTTATTTGCCAAGAAAGCCAAACTGGTGTTGGAGAAAAAGGAGCAGGAATTAAAAATTGAAGATATTGAGTCGTTGCGCGCAGCTGCCCGTGAATGGTACTGTGAAGAGGTAGGCGAGAAGGTGAAGCAGCTACAAAATGAGATGTGTCTATTCTTACAAGAAGTTGCCAAAACTGATCCACGGTTCATGGGAACACCTTTTACCAGATCTTCACACGCCGAAGCCAAGTTAAAACTTGTTGACTCACTTGATATTTTCTGGGAAATTAACACTGAAGAACTCCGAGACTTGAAGATTGAACACGAAAAACAAGTTGAAGGACAGAAGTGTATCGTATCTCTGGAACCTTTCAAAAGTCAAGAAAGTTCTGAAACTTTTTACTTTAGAAATAGTTTTGTAAAAGCAGTAAGACAAACACTTGAAAATTACCACTTTAAATTATCTAAACTTTGGTTAATATATCCTTACGTGGTGCAGACGGACATCGGACTGTCGCTGTACTTTGTGTGGTATACTGATGGAAGAACTGCCTTGCTGAGAGTACATATCGTGCCTGTGATCAAAGTTGATTATCCAGACGATAATCTCGTCTGGATGAAGGAGAGACAGGATATAATTCCCTCATTGTTAAAGGAATGTATTGACCATAAAATCCCCATTCACTTGGCCAGAAACAGCGAGGGCTCCTGGACCTACATTTCTACAAAGATGGAAAACAGAATATTCAGCCAGCAGCTGTCTGAAGACCAACGGCTGGTGTACCTGGCATGCAACATGATCACCAAGATACTCTTCTCGTGCTGGTGGTTCCCTGTGCAACACAGTCGTCGACATGGTCGCGCCTGGCACCTCTACTCTCTCAACATTAGAACGCTTTCTGACGTGCTCCTGAGGTCACTCTTCCTCGAGGAGCTGAGTGGGTCACAAGAGGCGGACTGGGAACCCTCCAAGTTCTTGGAGCGAATGATATCAATATTCCAGAGAGCCACTTGCATCAGTAACGATGGAAAAATTAATCGAAAGAGGAACATTCCTCTGATTTTAGACCCGCTTCACGCAGCCCAAGACGCCAACTTCATCGTCACAGCCGTTGTGAAGCACCTCAAGGAACTTAAAGATCGCTACTCGGGCTCAGGAACACCTGAAGGAACTGAGACATCACTGCAAGAAACAGTGAAACACGGGTCCCCAGGAACACCTGAAGGAACTAAGATATCACTGCAAGAAACCGTGAAACACGGGTCCCCAGGAACACCTGAAGGAACTAAGATATCACTGCAAGAAACAGTGATACACGGGTCCCCAGGAACACCTGAAGGAACTGAGACATCACTGCAAGAAACAGTAATACATTGGCTCCCAAGACACCTGATGGAACTACGGGAGAGATTCATGGGTCCCCATAAACACCGGAAGAAACTACGGGCCCGTCACATGTGTCCCCATGAACACCGGAAGAAACTACGGGCCCGTCACATGTTTCCCCATAAACACCGGAAGAAACTACAGGATCGTGACATGGATCCCTATGAATCCTTATTGAAAAACTTACGAATAAATATATAAATAAATAAATAAATAAATGTTTATTCACTTGCCCCGTGACATGGATCGCCAAGAACACCGGAGAAAAAGCAACACAAATACAATTAGGTCGATCACTAAGAACTCTTTGACCCGGCCAGGATTCGAACCCATGCCGTCCAGGATCACCCCTAAACGTACACAGTACCGTGACCACCACACCAATGATCGTCTATATATAAATTTATTTTTTTTATTTATTTATTTATATATATATATACAAGAAGGTACATTGGGTTTGTGAGAATACATTGGATAGTACAGATTGGGTAGCAAAAGATACAGATAAACAAGATTTATAAACACCATACAGACAGATTGGCAGCACATATAAGAAGACAGCAATGATCACAATGGTAAAGATGTTCAAATTGGGAACATGAAGGTTGGGAGATTGGGTAGCAATAGATACAGTGCAATTTTAAGGCAAAAAGTGAAAAACTATGAAGATGAAATTAGGTACTTTTTAGTATTGTTTTTGAATGATGTATAAGTTGGACAGCTTTTCAATTCAGTAGGGAGAGAGTTCCATAGACTGGGTCCCTTTATTTGCATAGAGTTTTTACACAGATTAAGTTTGACTCTTGGGATATCAAAGAGATATTTATTTCTGGTGTGGTGATAATGGGTCCTATTACATCTGTCCAGGAAGAGTTTCAGACAAGGATTTGCATTTAAGAACAGGATTTTGAAATGTAATTGACACAAGAGAATTTTTGGAGTGAGATTATGTTTAGCATGTTTAGGGAGTTAAACAAGGGGGCTGAGTGTTGTCTGAAAGCAGAATTTGATATTATTCTGATAGCAGATTTTTGCTGGGTGATGATGGACTTGAGATGGTTTGCAGTGGTTGAACCCCATGCACAGATACCATAGTTGAGATAGGGATAGATTAGTGCATAATATACAATACAATACAATACAAATATAGAGAGATGAGAGCAGAGTTAGGTACATAAGTTAGGTACATAAATAAACAGCGTTGTTTAAAAAAACAGACATGGGTTGACAATAGAGGGGTGAGGTAGGTTACAGGGAATTTATTAGGTAGTGCTCAGTTTTTATCTTAAACTGGTTGAGAGAGGTACAGTCTTTAACATGGTTGGGAAGGTCATTCCACATTCTGGGTCCCTTAATTTGTAGAGCATTTCTAGTTTGATTAAGTCGTACTCTTGGAATATCAAAACTATTTATTTCTGGTGTGGTGCTCATGGGCTCTGTTACAACCTTCAATGAAGCTTTTGAGGTCAGGATTGGCATTACAGTTAAGCGTTTTATATATGTATAATACACATGAGAGAATGTGCAGCGACTTAATATCTAACATATTCAGAGATTTGAGTTGGGGTACCGAGTGATGTCTGGGGCCAGAGTGGGATATTGTCCTAATAGCAGCTTTGTGTTGAATAATTAGAGGACGTAAATGATTTTGGGTAGTAGAACCCCAAGCACAAATACCATAGTTGAGATATGGATAGATGAGGGAGTAATAGAGAGTCACCAGGGCAGGGCGGGGTACATAATATCTGATCTTAGAAAGAATGCCAACAGTTTTTGAAACTTTTTTGATATATTTAGAATGTGTACCTGGAAATTCAGCTTGAGGTCAATGAGAACGCCAAGGAATTTGCCATCTATTTTGATACAAATTTGGGTATTGTTTATCCTGAGATTTATTTGATTACAAGATTTATTGCCAAACAGAATATAGAAAGTTTTGTCAATGTTAAGGGTGAGTTTGTTGGCAGTTAGCCAAAGATGGACTTTATTTAGCTCAGTATTTACTGTGGCATTTAGAGCAAGGGGGTCAGGATTGGAGTAAATGAAGGTTGTGTCGTCAGCTAATAGAATTGGTTTGAGGTGTTGGGAGGCATTTGGAAGGTCATTAATGTAGATGAGAAAGAGGAGAGGGGCCGAGTGTGCTGCCCTGAGGAACACCAATGTTGATGGGTAGGGAGGGAGAAATTGAATTATTCACAGAAACATACTGGACCCTGTCATTAAGGTAAGATTTGAGGTATTGCAGGGAGTGTCCTCTGACTCCATAATGATGTAATTTAAGAAGAAGGTTTTGGTGGTTGACAGTGTCAAAAGCCTTACGCAGGTCCACAAATAACCCAACAGGGAACTCATTTTTATCGAGAGCTGCATGAATCAAGTTAATCATACTAATAAGTGCATCGTTAGTGTTTTTTTGGGTCTGAAGCCATATTGACTTCAATATGGCTTAGCTTAAGAGCTAAGTATATTGTGTTTGGCTAGATAAGAGTAAAGCTGCTTGTAGATTAGTTTTTCAAATATTTTTGACAAGTTAGGCAGGATTGATATAGGTCTGTAGTTGTTAACATCTGTGAGATCACCACATTTGTGGACAGGGGTTACTCTGGCTTTTTTTAGAATATCTGGAAAGGTTTGGAGTTCAAGTGACTTGTTGAAGAGCAATGCAATAGCAGGGGCTAAAGATCTGGAGGCTTTTTTGTAAATTAAAGTTGGTATCTCCTCAAGGGCACTAGACTTGGTTTTAAGGGAAAGGATTATCTCATTGACGTCAGTGGAATTAATAGGCTTTAGGTACAGAGACTGTGGATAGTTACCTGTAAGATAGTCCTTAACATCAGTACTGGAAGATGGAATATCATTTGCAAGGGATGACCCAATGGAAGAGAAGAACCTATTGAACTCAATAGCAGAATCAGAGGCTGAAAGCTGACCATCGTTATTGGACAGGAGTGTTGGTTTGTTATTTAAAATCTTCTTTGATCCCAATATTTGTGAAATTGTGCTTCAAGTTTTTTTTAATGTTGTTCTTTATTTGGGTAAATTTATCTTCGTAGTATTTAGTTTTGGCGCTTTTAATTATTTTAGATAGCAATAACGAGTAATTCTTTAAGAACTCTTTGGAGACGGTTCCTAACCTATACTTCTTCTCAAGGTCATGTTTTTTATTAATGGATTTAAGTATTCCCTTTGTAAGCTAAGGATTGTTAAGCCTTTTGGTTGTGACTTGTTTCGTTAGCATAGGACAGTGGGTGTTATAAAGGCTAAGAGTTTTTTGAAGAAAAGATTGCACTGCTAGGTTGATGTCCCCTATGTTACCTAACTCGGACTCCCAGTTGACATTAGCAGCAGCAGTTATAAAATTGCCTATAGCAGTTTCATTGTGCAGCCTAAAGCTTAACTCCCTTGTCTCTAGAGGTGGTTTGTTAATGTTAGTTAAGAGAAATGTGGGGTAATGGTCTGTAGTGCTATCGGTGATTATACCTGAAGTAAGCGGAGAGGTTATGTTGGTCCAGATGTGATCTAGAGTCGTGGCAGTACTATCAGTGATTCTAGTAGGTCTAGTGATTAAGGGTATGAGGAAGCAGGAATTCATACAGTTGAGGAAGCTAACAGCAGTAGGGTGTTCAGGCTCGCAGAGGTCAATATTAAAGTCCCCTGCGATAATAAGATGGTTTTTGTTCAGTCTGTTATCTAGTATTAGATTTCTAAGGTTTGAGTTGAATTCGGACACATCAGTGTTAGGAATTCTATAGACTGCACCCACAGACAGGACAGACTCAGCACCCTTGACTCTGAAACTGGCGAAGATATACTCCCCACAGCAGTCTCTAGTTCTAATTACTTTTAAGCATGTTAGTTCTTGGTGGTAGTAAAGAGCAGTACCACCACCTCTCTGAATTTGACGACAGTTGTGAATTGCCGAGTAGTTAGGCATGTTAAAGAGTTGAGTAGTATCCTCTTTCAACCACGTTTCAGTAAGTATAATAAAAGAGAATTTGTTGTCAATAGTTTCAATCAAGGCACTAACATCATCGAAGTGTTTACCTAGGGATCTAACGTTCAAGTTGATTACAGAGATATTGTGATTATGTGTTAATACATTGTTTACATCATGTGCTGTAAAATATCTGCAATAATGATCATTAAAGTGATGATTGTCATAGATAGTGGATAAGAGGTTTAGTTCTGGGTCTATACTTGTCTGCATAAAAAGGCTGGTTGTAGGAAAACAAGGCAAGAATGGCAATTACAAAATAGAATTTTGATATAAAAGGGGAAAAATATAAACAAGACTATACAAAACAAACACAAAATGAACAAAAAAAGAAAAATGAGATGGATTGCTTACAAGTACTCTCAGGTACACTGTAAGTAATAATTTGCATTTTGAGACACAGGCCAAGCCAGGGGTACAATGGAGTAAGGGAGTATGGCGAGGCTAGGCAACCTGGGTAATAATGAAAGCAAAGAAAAAAAATTGAATAATAAACATAGGCAAATTTAAGCTAATAATTATTAACTATAAATAGTTTAGTTATGATCCTATAATTAATAAGAAGTAAAGAAATATTAATGCACTCAATTAATTAAGTCCAATAAATGACTAGTAAAAAGTAAATTAAAAATTAATTTAAAAAGTGAAATAAAGAGACTTAGGATACCTAGCCCGCACTAGGTGACAAGGGGGTTAATTATGTTGACTCATTGGGAGTGATAATGAGGTGAGACAAACCACATTGGGTGAGGAAAGTGTTGAGGTTATCCTCATTAGCAATTGTAAACATTTTACCTCCTGAAGTCTTTCTCACTTTAATCACGCCATCTATAACGAAGCACTGATGACTCGCAGCTGGGTTTTGATGACGGATTTGACGCAGGCGGTAGAGGAGTTGATGTCTTTTACTAGTCAAGCACTCGTTGATGTAGATTCCCTTCCGTTGGGATGCAGCTGTCCGGACAAGATGCGATTTCATGGACTGGGAAGCCAGCTTCAGGCGAATTTTCCGCTGGTTTTGTCCTGATGGATTCTTTTTGCCTACTCTGTAGGCAGCAATAATGTCAGTTTTGTCTAGAGTGACACGCAATTTGTTCTTTAAGAGAGACTGAACTATTTCAATACACTTTTCACCTCCACTTTCCACGGGAATATCTTGGGACGACACAACTACAGAGTCAAGCAGCTTTTGCTGGTCTTGTTCTTCCTGGGAGACGGAACGTTGGGCGGATAATGTACTGATACATGCAGTCATTTTGCTGAGACCTTCCTCTTGTTTATTTATGGCTTCATCAGTTTTCAGACGAATGTTTTCCTCACGGAGATCATTCAAGTCATGCTGGAGTTGGTCTTGGCTATCTTGAGGTTATCTTGAGATGATTTCGGGGCTTTAGTGTCCCCGCGGCCCGGTCCTCGACCAGGCCTCCACCCCCAGGAAGCAGCCCGTGACAGCTGACTAACACCCAGGTACCTATTTTACTGCTAGGTAACAGGGGCATAGGGTGACAGAAACTCTGCCCATTGTTTCTCGCCGGCGCCTGGGATCGAACCCAGGACCACAGGATCACAAATCCAGCGTGCTGTCCGCTCGGCCGACCGGCTAGCCTTAAAGTTTCTTATATCCTCGCGGAGGAGGGTTATTTCTTGTTGATGATGGAGATTCACGCGGTTCGCTAGATTCTCATTTTGAAGACTCGAGATGATAGTATTTTTAGCCTCAAGGACTAGGCACAACTTTTTGAACCACTGATTCTCGGGCCAGTTACGGAAATCCGGTGAGGGACCAGTAGCACGCTTGAATTGCGTAAACTGGGATGTTAGCATGGTAATAGGAGAGGATTGAGAGGACCCTCTCCCTGGCTCAATGGGGTGGAGGGAAGGGCAGCGCCGCCGCCACAGGCCCCAGAGCTTCCAGAGGGAGAGACACGATGACTGTCAGTGTTTGTCGGGATGGATGCCTTGTTAGGGGCTCTGTTGGAATGGAATACTTTGAAAGACCCCGATCAATAGCTTGTCAAGAAGTCCCAACCCATATTCCATATTAACAAAGACAACAGTCAATGATTTCATGCAACAAGCCGGTCGGCCGAGCAGACAGCACGCTGGGCTTGTGATCCTGTGGTCCCGGGGTCGATCCCACGCGCCGGCGAGAAACAATGGGCAGAGTTTCTTTCACCTTATGCCCCTGTTACCTAGCAGTAAAACAGGTACCTGGGTGTTAGTCAGCTGTCACGGGCTGCTTCCTGGGGGTGGAGGCCTCAAGTTCAAGTTCAAGTATGTTTATTGAGATAAGCAAGAAATACATCTCAAAGGGATAGAGTAGCTTAGGCTATTTCTACCGAGGACCGGGCCGTGGGGACACTAAAGCCCCGAAATCATCTCAAGATAACAAGAGAATCACTTGACAGTTGTTTATGACGTTCAATTACAGGAGGTTGTAAAGACCTGGCGTATATAAACAAGGTTGGAGACATCTTACGCATAATAGTAAATATATAGAAGATGATGAGACCTATAACCAGGGAATAATGTGAACGGTGCGAAAAAGACCTTTTATATAATGAACATATATGATAAATCTTATTTGTATAATTTAGAAGGATGAGAGATAACTTGTGAACAATAAAGCAGCCCGTCCTCCAAAAATGGGGCGGTAAAAAATATATCAATAAATAGTAAAGTAACTCAGGATATTTTGAAATTTTGTAGCACAAAATGGGGAGGTAAATGTAACAGCGCCATAAGTGCAATTATGTACTGTGTATGACAGTCAGGAAATGTACTTATTACACTTAGTATTAAAACGTACTGTCAATTCAGAGGATGGGTATAATGAAGAGGCCTGAGTGATCTTGTGTATAATGAAGAGGCATGAGTGATCTTGTGTATAATGAAGAGGCATGAGTGATCTTGTGTATAATGAAGAGGCCTGAGTGATCTTGTGTATAATGAAGAGGCAAGAGTGATCTTGTGGTATAATGAAGAGGCATGAGAGATCTTGTGTATAATGAAGAGGCCTGAGTGATCTTGTGTATAATGAAGAGGCCTTGAGTGATCTTGTGTATAATGAAGAAGCCTGAGTGATCTTGTGTATAATGAAGAGGCCTGAGAGATCTTGGGTATAATGAAGAGGCTTGAGTGATCTTGGGTATAATGAAGAGGCCTGAGTGATCTTGGGTATAATGAAGAGGCCTGAGTGATCTTGTGTATAATGAAGAGGCCTGAGTGATCTTGTGTATAATGAAGAGGCCTGAGTGATCTTGGGTATAATGAAGAGGCCTGAGTGATCTTGGGTATAATGAAGAGGCCTGAGTGATCTTGTGTATAATGAAGAGGCCTGAGTGATCTTGTGTATAATGAAGAGGCAAGAGTGATCTTGTGTATAATGAAGAGGCATGAGAGATCTTGTGTATAATGAAGAGGCTTGAGTGATCTTGTGTATAATGAAGAGGCTTG